CGATACCCTTCCTCTATGGCTCCCCTCCCCCGATTCCCTTCCTCTATGGCTCCCCCCCCCCCCACCGATACCCTTCCTCTACGGCTTCCCCTCCCGATACCCTTCCTCTACGGCTCCCCCCGCCCCCCCGGTTCCTTTCCTCTACGGCTTTCCCCCCCTCCCCCCAATACCCTTCCTCTACGGCTTCCCCCCCCGATACCCTTCCTCTATGGCTTCCCCCCCCGATACCCTTCCTTTACGGCTCCCAAGCCCCCCAGCCCCCTATACTCTTCCTCTGCGACTCTCCCCCGATAACCTTCCTCTATGGCTCCCCCCCCACCCCCCCCATATACCCTTCCTCTATGGCTTCCCCCCCCCATACCCTTCCTCTATGGCTCGCCCCCCCGATTCCCTTCCTCTACGGCTCTCCCCCCCCCCCCCCACCGATTCCCTTCCTCTACGGCTCCCCCCCCCCCCCCCACCGATACCCTTCCTCTAGGGCTCCCCGCCGATACTGTTCCTCTACGGCTCCCCCCCTGATACCCTTCTCTATGGCTCCCCTCCCCCGATACCCTTCCTCTATGTCTCCCCCCCACCGATTCCCTTCCTCTATGGCTCCCCCCCCACCAATACCCTTCCTCTATGTCTCCCCCCCACCGATTCCCTTCCTCTATGTCTCCCCCCCACCGATTCCCTTCCTCTATGGCTCCCCCCCCCACCGATACCCTTCCTCTACGGCTTCCCCTCCCGATACCCTTCCTCTACGGCTCCCCCCCCTCCCCCCCAATACCCTTCCTCTACAGCTTCCCCCCGATACCCTTCCTCTACGGCTTCCCCCCCGATACCCTTCCTCTACGGCTTCCCCCCCCCCCGATACCCTTCCTTTACGGCTCCCCCCCCCGATACCCTTCCTCTACTACTTCCCTTCCCCCCCCCCGATACCCTTCCTCTACGGCTCGCCCCCGATACCCTTTCTCTACGGCTCCCCCCCCCCCGATACCCTTCCTCTACAGCTCCCCTGCCCCCCCCGATACCCTTCCTCTACGACTCCCCCCCCCCCCCGATACCCTTTCTCTACGGCTCGCCCCCGATACCCTTTCTCTACTACGGCTTCCCCCCCCCGATACCCTTCCTCTACAGCTCCCCTGCCCCCCCCGATACCCTTCCTCTACGGCTTCCCCCCCGATTTCCTTCCTCAACGGCTCCCCCCCCCCCGATACTCTTCCTTCATGGCTGGTATATAGAGAAGTGGTTTGTGTGCTGTAGGTGGTGAGGTGTGTCCCATGGTGGATGGTATACGGAGAGGGGTGTCCATGGTGGATGGTATACGGAGAGGTGTGTCCCATGGTGGATGGTATACGGAGAGGTGTGTCCCATGGTGGATGGTATACGGAGAGGTGTGTCCCATGGTGGATGATATACGGAGAGGTGTGTCCCATGGTGGATGGTATACGGAGAGGTGTGTCCCATGGTGGATGGTATACGGAGAGGGGGTGTCCATGGTGGATGGTATACGGAGAGGTGTGTCCATGGTGGATGGTATACGGAGAGGTGTGTCCTATGGTGGATGGTATACGGAGAAGTGTGTCCCATGGTGGATGGTATACGGAGAGGTGTGTCCTATGGTGGATGGTATACGGAGAGGTGTGTCCTATGGTGGATGGTATACGGAGAGGTGTGTGTCCCATGGTGGATGGTATACGGAAAGGTGTGTCCCATGGTGGATGGTATATGGAGAGGTGTGTCCCATGGTGGATGATATACGGAGAGGTGTGTCCCATGGTGGATGGTATACGGAGAGGTGTGTCCCATGGTGGATGGTATACGGAGAGGTGTGTCCATGGTGGATGGTATACGGAGAGGTGTGTCCATGGTGGATGGTATACGGAGAGGTGTGTCCATGGTGGATGGTATACGGAGAGGTGTGTCCTATGGTGGATGGTATACGGAGAGGTGTGTCCCATGGTGGATGGTATACGGAGAGGTGTGTCCTATGGTGGATGGTATACGGAGAGGTGTGTCCCATGGTGGATGGTATACGGAGAGGTGTGTCCCATGGTGGATGGTATATGGAGAAGTGTGTCCATGGTGGATGGTATACGGAGAGGTGTGTCCCATGGTGGATGGTATACGGAGAGGTGTGTCCCATGGTGGATGGTATACGGAGAGGTGTGTCCATGGTGGATGGTATACAGAAAGGTGTGTCCATGGTGGATGGTATACGGAGAGGTGTGTCCATGGTGGATGGTATACGGAGAGGGGGTGTCCCATGGTGGATGGTATACGGAGAAGTGTGTCCCATGGTGGTTGGTATACGGAGAGGTGTGTCCATGGTGGATGGTATACGGAGAGGTGTGTCCTATGGTGGATGGTATACGGAGAAGGTGTCCATGGTGGATGGTATACGGAGAGGTGTGTCCCATGGTGGATGGTATATACGAAGAGGTGTGTCCCATAGGGGATGGTATACGGAGAGGTGTGTCCCATGGTGGATGGTATACGGAGAGGTGTGTCCATGGTGGATGGTATACAGAAAGGTGTGTCCATGGTGGATGGTATACGGAGAGGTGTGTCCCATGGGGGATGGTATACGGAGAAGTGTGTCCCATGGTGGATGGTATACGGAGAGGTGTGTCCATGGTGGATGGTATACGGAGAGGTGTGTCCCATGGTGGATGGTATACGGAGAGGTGTGTCCCATGGTGGATGGTATACGGTGAGGTGTGTCCATGGTGGATGATATACGGAGAGGGTGTGTGTCCATGGTGGATGGTATACGGAGAGGTGTGTCCATGGTGGATGGTATACGGAGAGGTGTGTCCATGGTGGATGGTATACGGAGAGGTTTGTCCCATGGTGGATGATATACGGAGAGGTGTGTCCCATGGTGGATGGTATACGGAGAGGTGTGTCCCATGGTGGATGATATACGGAGAGGTGTGTCCATGGTGGATGATATACGGAGAGAGGTGTGTCCATGGTGGATGATATACGGAGAGGTATGTCCATGGTGGATGGTATACGGAGAGGTGTGTCCCATGGTGGATGGTATACAGAAAGGTGTGTCCCATGGTGGATGGTATACGGAGAGGTGTGTCCCATGGTGGATGGTATACGGAGAGGTGTGTCCCATGGTGGATGGTATACGGAGAGGTGTGTCCATGGTGGATGGTATACGGAGAGGTGTGTCCCATGGTGGATCGTATACGGAGAAGTGTGTCCCATGGTGGATGGTATACGGAGAGGTGTGTCCCATGGTGGATGGTATACGAGAGGTGTGTGTGTCCCATGGTGGATGGTATACGGAGAGGGGTGTCCATGGTGGATGGTATACGGAGAGGTTGTGTCCCATGGTGGATGGTATACGGAGAGGGGTGTCCATGGTGGATGATATACGGAGAGGGGTGTCCATGGTGGATGATATACGGAGAGGTGTGGTCCCATGGTGGATGGTATACGGAGAGGTGTGTCCATGGTGGATGGTATACGGAGAGGTGTGTCCCATGGTGGATGGTATACGGAGAGGTGTGTCCCATGGTGGATGGTATACGGAGAGGTGTGTCCATGGTGGATGGTATACGGAGAGGTGTGTCCCATGGGGGATGGTATACGGAGAGGTGTGTCCCATGGTGGATGGTATACGGAGAGGTGTGTCCCATGGTGGATGGTATACGGAGAGGTGTGTCCCATGGGGGATGGTATACAGAAGGTGTGTCCATGGTGGATGATATACGGAGAGGTGTGTCCATGGTGGATGGTATACGGAGAGGTGTGTCCATGGTGGATGGTATACGGAGAGGTGTGTCCCATGGTGGATGGTATACGGAGAGGTGTGTCCATGGTGGATGGTATACGGAGAGGTGTGTCCATGGTGGATGGTATACGGAGAGGTGTGTCCATGGTGGATGGTATACGGAGAGGTGTGTCCATGGTGGATGGTATACGGAGAGAGGTTTGTCCCATGGTGGATGATATACGGAGAGGTGTGTCCATGGTGGATGGTATACGGAGAGGTGTGTCCATGGTGGATGATATACGGAGAGGTGTGTCCATGGGGGATGGTATACGGAGAGGTGTGTCCCATGGTGGATGGTATACGGAGAGGTGTGTCCCATTGGTGGATGGTATACGGAGAGGTGTGTCCCATGGTGGATGGTATATGGAGAGGTGTGTCCCATGGTGGATGTGTATACGGAGAGGTGTGTCCATGGTGGATGGTATACGGAGAGGTGTGTCCCATGGTGGATGGTATACGGAGAGGTGTGTCCCCATGGTGGATGATATACGGAGAGGTGTGTCCCATGGTGGATGGTATACGGAGAGGTGTGTCCATGGTGGATGATATACGGAGAGGTGTGTCCCATGGTGGATGATATCGGAGAGGTGTGTCCATGGTGGATGATATACGGAGAGGTGTGTCCATGGTGGATGGTATACGGAGAGGTGTGTCCATGGTGGATGATATACGGAGAGGTGTGTCCATGGTGGATGATATACGGAGAGGTGTGTCCATGGTGGATGGTATACGGAGAGAGGTGTGTCCCCATGGGGGATGGTATACGGAGAGGGGTGTCCATGTGGTGGATGGTATACGGAGAGGTGTGTCCCATGGTGGATGATATACGGAGAGGTGTGTCCCATGGTGGATGGTATACGGAGAGGTGTGTCCCATGGTGGATGATATACGGAGAGGTGTGTCCCATGGTGGATGATATACGGAGAGGTGTGTCCATGGTGGATGGTATACGGAGAGGTGTGTCCATGGTGGATGGTATACGGAGAGGTGTGTCCATGGTGGATGGTATACGGAGAGGTGTGTCCATGGTGGATGATATACGGAGAGGTGTGTCCATGGTGGATGGTATACGGAGAGGTGTGTCCATGGTGGATGGTATACGGAGAAGTGGTTTTGTGGTTTTTGTGGTTTGGTTTTTTCTACTTTTAGTTTTCTTCGCCTATCTGATTTGTTGTTCTGTTTCCGTTCAGCCAGAACCCTGGAGGCCATCGTGAATGCGCTCGCCATGTCTGGCGAGACGGAAGAGGTGACCCGCCTCCGGAAGCCCCGCTTTTCCTATGAGGAGAATCAGATCCTGATCCGAGAGGTGCGCGCTCACTACTCCATGCTGTACGGAGCTCAGGCCCGCCGGCTGAGTGTGGCAGAGAGACGCCGAGTGTGGGAGGGAATCGCTGCCAAAATTAATGCCATAACCAACTGGAAACGCACAGCTCAGGAAGTTCAGAAACGGTGGAATGATTTTAAGAGGCGGACCAAGGAGAAGCTTGCACGGGTTCCCCACTCCACCCAGAACGGCACAGCGGAGGAGGTGCTCACAGCAGAGGAAGAGACGATATTTGCTATCCTGGGGTCCGGGCGTGGTGCCTGGCCGCGAGGCTTATATTCCAGGGACACGGCCTGTGGGTGAGTTCTCGTCCCTGGATTGGTGATAATGAATGTCAGAATTATTGGCTCCAAATTGAGTCCACCCCCCGTCTGTGTCTCATCGGGGTGACTTCCCTTCACTTCCTGTCCCCCGTCTGTGTCTCATCGGGGTGACTTCCCTTCACTTCCTGTCCCCTGTCTGTGTCTCACCGGGGTTGACTTCCCTTCACTTCCTGTCCCCTGTCTGTGTCTCATCGGGGTTCTCTTCCCTTCACTTCCTGTCCTCTCTCTTTGTCTCATATGGGGTGACTTCCCTTCGCTTCCTGTCCTCTCTCTGTGTCTCATATGGGGTGACTTCCCTTCGCTTCCTGTCCGCTGTCTGTGTCTCATCGGGGTCGACTTCCCTTCACTTCCTGTCCTCTCTCTGTGTCTCATCGGGGTTGACTTCCCTTCACTTCCTGTCCTCTCTCTGTGTCTCATCGGGGTTGACTTCCCTTCACTTCCTGTCCTCTCTCTGTGTCTCATCGGGGTGACTTCCCTTCGCTCCCTGTCCGCTGTCTGTGTCTCATCGGGGTGACTTCCCTTCACTTCCTGTCTCCTGTCTGTGTCTCATCGGGGTGACTTCCCTTCACTTCCTGTCCCCTGTCTGTGTCTTATCGGGGTGACTTCCCTTCACTTCCTGTCTGTGTCTCATTGGGGGTGACTTCCCTTCACTTCCTGTCTGTGTCTCATCGGGGTGACTTCCCTTCACTTCCTGTCTCCTGTCTGTGTCTCATCGGTGTGACTTCCCTTCACTTCCTGTCCCCTGTCTGTGTCACATCGTGGGTGACTTCCCTTCACTTCCTGTCTCCTGTCTGTGTCTCATCGGGGGTGACTTCACTTCCTGTCCCCTGTCTGTGTCTTATCGGGGTGACTTCCCTTCACTTCCTGTCTCCTGTCTGTGTCTCATTGGGGGTGACTTCCCTTCACTTTCTGTCTGTGTCTCATCGGGGTGACTTCCCTTCACTTCCTGTCTCCTGTCTGTGTCTCATCGGAGTGACTTCACTTCCTGTCCCCTGTCTGTGTCTTATCGGGGTGACTTCCCTTCACTTCCTGTCTGTGTCTCATCGGGGGTGACTTCCCTTTACTTCCTGTCTGTGTCTCATCGGGGGTGACTTCCCTATACTTCCTGTCTTTGTCTCATCGGGGTGACTTCCCTTCACTTCCTTTCTCCTGTCTGTGTCACATCGGGGTGACTTCCCTTCACTTCCTGTCCCCTGTCTGTGTCACATCGGGGTGACTTCCCTTCACTTCCTGTCCCCTTTCTGTGTCACATTGGGGTGACTTCCCTTCACTTCCTGTCCCCTGTCTGTCCTTCCCTAATTTATTAAATAGTAAAAATAAATTTGATCCACTTTTCTGAATTGTCCACAAAGATTCTCTTCTGTCACCCTTCCCCCTCCAGTGTCGGTATTCAGCGCCTCCTCCCTTCACTTTCAGTATTTAGCCCCTCCCCCTCCACTGGCATTATTTAGCCCCTCCCTCTTTCACAGTCGGTATTCAGCCCCTCCCCCCAGTATAGGTGGTCTCTGAGTAGATACATTGTGATTGTTACATTGTATTCCATTCACATGGATGACCTTCCGCCAGCAGATACAAATGTATCCATGCTTAACCCCTTAGAATTCTTGGCTGGAAGAAGCCCCTCCCCCTCCCCTCCCCCACACACACAGTGCAAAGGGTTAAATGCTTGCTATGTCTAGGGGGTGCAGGAATTGGGGGTAGTACCCAGTTCATGACTTCAGCAGGCCGCCGCCTCCTCCGTCCATGTGACCCAACGAGTCATGCAGCCCCTCCCACTACCCCTAGAAACAATGAGGACCCCACGGACAGTCCTGGAGTTCTGCCATAAAGTGATATTAAACCCAAAACCAGAAATGTCTTCTATTGCAGCTTTCCAAACATTGGATGTGGCGGCTCCATTAGTTTTCTTTTCTCATAAAGGCTTGCAGCAGTTACAATATAACATAGACAATTTGCAGACTTCCTGGTTCTGTGCAAGATGGTCCCAAAAGACCATTCAGGGTGTGGAAGCAGCCAATCGTATAGAGAAGACAAGGTCTGGGGCAGAACAGGAACAGGTGCAGCCACTGGTGCCCTATCACAGGGAGAACCGGCCTCCAGCATTGATATTTGGAGAGAAGATGGCGGCCATGTCCTGGGATTTAGAGAGGTGATGGCGGCCATGTCCTGGGATTTGGAGAGGTGATGGCGGCCATGTCCTGGGATTTGGAGAGGTGATGGCGGCCGTGTCCTGGGATTTGGAGAGGTGATGGCGGCCGTGTCCTGGGATTTGGAGCAGAGATGGCCGTGTCCTGGGATTTGGAGAGGTGATGGTGGCCGTTTCCTGGGATTTGGACAGGTGATGGCGGCCGTTTTGTCCTGGGATTTGGAGAGGTGATGGCGGCCGTGTCCTGGGATTTGGAGGTGATGGTGGCCGTTTCCTGGGATTTGGACAGGTGATGGTGGCCGTGTCCTGGGATTTGGAGAGGTGATGGCGGCCGTGTCCTGGGATTTGGAGCAGAGATGGCGCGGCCGTGTCCTGGGATTTGGAGCAGAGATGGCGGCCGTGTCCTGGGATTTGGAGAGGTGATGGCGGCCGTGTCCTGGGATTTGGAGCAGAGATGGCGGCCGTGTCCTGGGATTTGGAGAGGTGATGGTGGCCGTTTCCTGGGATTTGGACAGGTGATGGCGGCCGTGTCCTGGGATTTGGAGAGGTGATGGCGGCCGTGTCCTGGGATTTGGAGGTGATGGTGGCCGTTTCCTGGGATTTGGAGAGGTGATGGTGGCCGTGTCCTGGGATTTGGAGAGGTGATGGCGGCCGTGTCCTGGGATTTGGAGCAGAGATGGCGGCCGCCGTGTCCTGGGATTTGGAGCAGAGATGGCGGCCGTGTCCTGGGATTTGGAGAGGTGATGGCGGCCGTGTCCTGGGATTTGAACAGGTGATGGCGGCCGTGTGTCCTGGGATTTGGAGAGGTGATGGTGGCCGTTTCCTGGGATTTGGACAGGTGATGGCGGCCGTGTCCTGGGATTTGGAGAGGTGATGGCGGCCGTGTCCTGGGATTTGAACAGGTGATGGCAGGCGTGTCCTGGGATTTGGAGCAGAGATGGCGGCCGTGTCCTGGGATTTAGAGAGGTGATGGTGGCCGTGTCCTGGGATTTGGAGAGGTGATGGCGGCCGTGTCCTGGGATTTGGACAGGTGATGGCGGCCGTGTCCTGGGATTTGGAGAGGCGATGGCGGACATGTCCTGGGATTTGGAGAGGCGATGGCGGCCATGTCCTGGGATTTAGAGAGGTGATGGCGGCCATGTCCTGGGCTTTGGAGAGGTGATGGCGGCCATGTCCTGGGATTTAGAGAGGTGATGGCGGTCGTGTCCTGGGATTTGGAGAGGTGATGGTGGCCGTGTCCTGGGATTTGGAGATGCGATGGTGGCCGTGTCCTGGGATTTGGAGCAGAGATGGCGGCCGTGTCCTGGGCTTTGGAGAGGTGATGGCGGCTGTGTCCTGGGCTTTGGAGAGGTGATGGCGGCCATGACCTGGGATTTGGAGAGGCGATGGCGGCCGTGTCCTGGGATTTGTAGCAGAGATGGCGGCCGTGTCCTGGGATTTGGAGCAGAGATGGCGGCCGTGTCCTGGGATTTGGAGCAGCAATGTCGGCCGTGTCCTGGTATTTGGAGCGGCAATGGCGGCCGTGTCTTGGGATTTGGAGCAGCAATGGTGGCCGTGTCTTGGGATTTGGAGAGGTGATGGCGGCCATGTCCTGGGATTTGGAGAGGTGATGGCGACCGTTTTGTCCTGGGCTTTGGAGAGGTGATGGTGGCCCTGTCCTGGGATTTGGAGAGGTGATGGCGGCCATGTCCTGGGATTTAGAGAGGTGATGGCGGTCGTGTCCTGGGATTTGGAGAGGTGATGGTGGCCGTGTCCTGGGATTTGGAGATGCGATGGTGGCCGTGTCCTGGGATTTGGAGCAGAGATGGCGGCCGTGTCCTGGGCTTTGGAGAGGTGATGGCGGCCGTGTCCTGGGATTTGGAGCAGCAATGTCGGCCGTGTCCTGGTATTTGGAGCGGCAATGTCGGCCGTGTCTTGGGATTTATAGCGGCAGTGGCGGCCGTGTCTTGGGATTTGGAGCAGCAATGGTGGCGGTGTCTTGGGATTTGGAGAAGCGATGGCAGCCGCGTCCTTGGATTTGGAGCGGCGATGGCAGCCGTGTCCTTGGATTGTCTTGGAGAGCTTAGGTCAGGTCCCCCATTTGCTCGTTGTCCTTTACCATTGTGAGCCATTGAGCTTCTGTTGGGGCCGCTCTGTGTTTAGCAAGTCTCTAAGGAGGGATTTTGGTACCATTTCCTAGAAGGGGGTGAGGTTGGGAAGTAATGCCTCGGGGTCATCTTGTAGAGAGATAACTGAATTCATGAATGAGTCGGAGGACCGGCTCCCAGAAAGTGCGTGAGGTGTGGCATTGCCAGAAGATATGTAACTGGGTCCTTGCATGTAATCCACACCTCCAGCATCAGTCAGGGGAATAATTTAGGACCACAGGAATCCTTTTCCAAGGAGTTACAATTTTGTAAGAGGTCTCTTGGTACTTTAGGGTTGGGGGGGGGGAATGTGGAGAGAGGACAGGGAATTGGAGGGGGGTTTTGGGTGGGGCTTCTATCCTGGTTTACTCACTTATCAGCTGTTTGAGGTTTTTATGTCCATTTGATTATGTTTTCAGTAAAGACCGTGTGGTTAAGCCTTTCGTCGGTGTCATATCCTCGGTGGGTCTCGCTGAAGGTCTCTTGGTACTTACTGCATAGAGATAACTTGTGTGCAAAAAAGAGAACTCGCTCTTTCCGAGGATCGGTGAAGGTGACTCCCAAGTCTCTTTCCCATTTAGCAAGAAAAGGGGGATCCGAGGTAGCATGAAGGTCCAGTTAGAATTTGTAAGAAGGGGAGAGGGACTTGGGCATTGGGCCTTCCCCCAAACATAGCTCCTCGAAGGAATGCAGCCTCCAGGAAA